GGGGAGCCGCGGCGCACAGCACGCCTGCCCTTCCTGCGCCCCGGAGGAGGCCCTGCCCGAGGCCGAGGGCGCCCCCGGCGACCTGCTGCCCAACGACCTGTACTTGCTGCGGCGCCCTGGACGCCGGAGAGGCGGCCTCGCCGAAGCCGCCTCGCGGGGGAGGCCTCAGGCTCTCGGGTCGGGCGAAAGGGGGGGATTGGGAAAGGGAGGTTTACGAAATTTGCTGCATGCAGCTGGTTTCGGCCTCACCGAAGGGCCAATTCCTCGACATATGGCCGCTCCCGGCGCCGGGAGGCGCCGGGAAAATCAGCTACGTGAGCTGATTCTCAAACCCCCCCTTTGCTATCCCCCCCTTCCGCCCGACCCGAGACTCGAGTGCGCCAGAGCTCAGGTTTGCCGAGGCGTTTTGGCGGGCGCGTCCTGGATTTGGCGTTCCAGTTTTTCATTTTTTGGGCCTTCTGGGTGGGGTCCGAGCAGATGGGTTCGGACCCCGTCTGGGAGACCATGGAAGGCCTCTATCTCCAGCTCCTCGGCGGCGAGCGAGGGGGGGAAGCGAGAAGAAGAAGGCCTTCCCAGAAGGCGGCAGGGCTTCTCAGAAACCCTCGCGCCTTCTGAGAGGTTTCCTGTGCCTTCGGGGAAGGCTTAGAAAACTTCTAGGTGATGACTAGGGGGTGGATATCATGGTGGTGGCCATGATATCTCCCCAGATTTCCTGCTTGCCATGCTATCTCCCTAGACCTCCTGGCGCCTCTTCGTAGTTCGAAATGTCCCCGACCCTCCCCTGGGCCGCGCGCCCCTAGGCCTCCCAAATGGGGTCCGAGCAGATGGGGTCGGAGCATCGCTCTGCATCGCCGATGCATCGGCGATGCGGCTCGATGCGGAGAGCGAGTTTCTTCACGCCGACGTCGCCGATGCATCGCCGACGTCGACGATGCATCGGTGATGCATCGACGATGTGGCGCGATCCTCCGGCCCTATCTACTCGGACCCCATCTGGGAGGCCTCTATCTAACCGGCTCCCATCGGGGGTCGCTGAGAGGGGAGTGATGACTAGGGGGGGGGATATCATGGCGGTGCCCATGATATCTCCCCAGATCTCCTGGCGCCTCTCCGTAGTTCAATGCGTCCCCGCCCTCCCCCCCTGGGCAGGCAACGCGCATGCCGCCGGCCCTGCTTTGCGCCCTCCCTCCCCGCGATTTGCCACCGGGTCGGCCGCAGATCGCGGGAGCCCTGTGCTTCTCTGAGAGTCCGCGGGCGCAGGCAGGCCGAGGCCAGTGCAGGCACGGGCCGGAGGTCGAGCGGGACGCGCCGGGAACTGCTCGGGGCACGGCGGGACGCGGGATGATCAGGAGGGGAAAAACGCAGACACAATTAATCGTCGATTCCCAGAAAATATGGGAAAATATGGGAAGTGGGGGGGAAGACAGAAACCCAGAAAATATAGGAAAATATGGGGAATATTTTTATTTGTGTGTATTGCGAAGGCCTGACGGCCGGTGCCGCCGACCCTGTTCGCAATGCGCAGCAAGAGGCACGGGCTGTGGGATGGTTTGGGGGAACGGGGAGAAGGACGAGAAGGTGGGGGAGGGAGGTGTCGTATCTGACCCGGGACTTCCCCGGGACTCCCCCGGGACCCCCCCCGGGACCTCCTCTCCCCCCCCCGTCGGGGAAGGGAAAGGGAAGGGGCTTCCCTTCGACTCAATGACGACGTTGCTCAAGGTCGGTACGGGGGGGGGGCGTCGTATCTGACTCGGGGGGGGGTCGCTACCCCCCCCCGCTACCCCCCCCCCCTCCCGGCGGGGGAGGAATGAAAGGGAAGGGGCTTCCCTTCGACTCAATTACGAGGTTGCTCAAGGTCGGCTTGGCTGGAGCCCAGGGGAAGAGGAGTCCCAGGGGGGGGCGTCGTATCTGACCCGGGGGGGGGTCGCTACCCCCCCCCCCCTCCCGGCGGGGGAGGGATCAAAGGGAAGGGGCTTCCCTTCGACTCAATTACGAGGTTGCTCAAGGTCGGCTTGGCTGGAGCCCAGGGGAAGAGGAGTCCCAGGGGGGGGCGTCGTATCTGACCCGGGGGGGGGTCGCTACCCCCCCCCCCTCCCGGCGGGGGAGGGATGAAAGGGAAGGGGCTTCCCTTCGACTCAATTACGAGGTTGCTCAAGGTCGGCTTGGCTGGAGCCCAGGGGAAGAGGAGTCCCAGGGGGGGGCGTCGTATCTGACCCGGGGGGGGGGGTCGCCCCCCCCCCCTCCGGCGGCGGCGGTAGCCTTAAGGGGGGGGGAGCCTTCGCTCAAAGGGAAGGGGCTTCCCTTCGACTCAATTACGAGGTTGCTCAAGGTCGGCTTGGCTGGAGCCCAGGGGAAGAGGAGTCCCAGGGGGGGGCGTCGTATCTGACCCGGGGGGGGGGTCGCTACCCCCCCCCCCCTCCCGGCGGGGGAGGGATGAAAGGGAAGGGGCTTCCCTTCGACTCAATTACGAGGTTGCTCAAGGTCGGCTTGGCTGGAGCCCAGGGGAAGAGGAGTCCCAGGGGGGGCGTCGTATCTGACCCGGGGGGGGGGTCGCTACCCCCCCCCCTCCCGGCGGGGGAGGGATCAAAGGGAAGGGGCTTCCCTTCGACTCAATTACGGGGAATATTTTTATTTGTGTGTATTTATTTGTGTGTCCTGGGGCCCCTTCAGATGAGATCGACCAGACGTAAGGGTGACCTTTCGCCGGATTGACCTCTGGTGCGGGCACAGATTGGTCCTCCGATGGCTGAAAAACGAGGCAGTGGCAGCTGCTTGCGCGCCCAGGTTTGGTCCCCCCCGCGGCCCCCCAGAAAGTCGCGCACCAAAGGTCACTCTGACCCAGGGTCACTCCTGCGTGTAGCCGAGGGGAGGAGGAAGCCTCTGCTTACCAGGCCAACCCCCACCCAACCCGAAGGCCCTAGGCCACCCTGAATTTCGGGTCGGGGGGGTGTACGGTTTCCATCGTGGTGCCTCCATGTTCTGGAGTGTCCACCCCCCCCTCCCGGAAATCGAAATCGACGAGCCCAGCGGCGACCTCCGATTGGGTTGGGGTTTGTTTTCGTAGGTGGTCAGGAGAGGGAGAGCAGGAGCCGCTCGGGGCGCGAAGGACTGCGCGGGCGTGCCGGAGGAGGAGAGCTTTGTACAGCCAGGACGCTGACATAGGGGCCGCTTAGGTCATTCCGTGGTTAGGGGAACAAAAGGTGTCATTAACACAAAAACTCGCCGCCAGAGCAGCAGGCGGCGCCAGCATCGCAGTCACCTTGTTCTTCCAGAGCACACCCTTGCCCTTCATTAGGGGATCAAAGAGTGATATGAACATACAAACTCGGAGGTCCGCGCGGATTTCTCGGATCGGCGCTGGACCCCCCTCCCTGGCGCGCGGAGCGCGCCAGGGGCGGCGCGCCAGAGGCGCCGCAAGGGGGCCCCAGCGCCGATCCGAGAAATCCGCGCGGACCTCTGAGTTTTCATGTTTATGTCACTTTTTGTTCCCCTAGTGGTTGTCCCTCCAGTGAGGAAGCTGTCCAGCAGCTGTCCAAGGTTACCCTTGTGTCCTTCCCCTTCAGTTCATCCTTGGCCGCTCTCGCTGTCCACGCCCCGCTCGCAAAGTGTCGACATGGCCCTCCGAGGCCCTTGCATCCTTCTCGCGCATCCTTATTCTTGTACGGGTTGGCTGTAGCCCTCATCGTGCACCCAAGGCTCTTTCGGTTTCAAAAGGTGCTTCGTTCCTTATTCCGCGCGTTCCTGGTTCCAGCAGCCCGACGGGGTGTCCTCTCGGTGGCGTGCCGCGGGCGGGGTTGGAAGTGAGAATGAGCAGGCCTGCTCAGAAGGTGGCGGGGGCTTCTTTCTCAGAAGCCCTCCAGACTTCTGAGAAGTTTTCTGTGTCGTCGGGGGAGGCTTAGAAAGCCTCTCAGAAGGCCAGAGGCCTTCCGAGCCTTCTGAGAAGGCCCACCCCTTCTCACTTGCCCACCAGGCTCGCCGCCGATTTCTGAAATCCCATAATTGACGAGAAAGCGCCGATCTAGCGTCGATTTGGCGTCGGTTAGCGTGGATTGGCGTCGGTCAGCATCGATTAGCGTCTATTAGTCGATTCGCAAGAGACAACAAGATGGCATGGGTGGCTCCCCAAACTGGAAACGCGGGCTAAGGCAGGGAGGGCTGGGGGCTGTTTTGGTTGTTAACTTAGCTCCTAACGCATGTTGGGGCAATGCCTCCAGATCTTTGCATGCACATGATCAGTAGTCAGTTTGGCTCAGAAGAGTCCCGCAAGGGACGAAGCGTCAGCCCGATACTGACAGCATACTTGCAACATAGTGCTTTCGTCGTCCAGCTTGATCGTGTCGATTCTAGACGCTGCGCGTAACCCCACCAACCCATCCAGAAACGATGCCCAGGCGAGTTGCCCTAATCAGGGATGTGGAGGAGCATGCCGTGGAATATGTGGTTGGGGAAGCCATCATACCCCAAGAGGGGGAGGATGGCGGGATCGGAGGAGGAGGGGACGAGCTGCTTTCATCGTCCAGCTTGAGTGTCTCAGTTTGATCGAGTTGCCACCGAAGCTGACGGCATGATCGGGCGGGCGAGCGTCGATTCGCGAGGGCCGGCCAACACGACGGCACGGGAGGCTCCATGGCGCCGTCATCGACGTCGTCGCCGACGCCGCCGCCGTCGTCGCCGTGGTCGGTCGCCCCGTCCGCAGACCGTCGTCCGCCGACCGCAGGCCGGCGGCCGTCGTCCGTCGGCCGCCGCCGCCGTCGGCCGGCGGCCGTCGGCCGTCGGCCGTCGGCCGCGGCCTCCGCCGCCGGCCGCCGGCCGGCCACCCCAGGCGGCGCCGTCGGGCGGGCGAGCGCCCCGCCCGGCGCGCCCGGGGCCTGGGACCCCGCGGGGGCGCCGGCGGACGACCGCGGCGGGCCCGGCGGGGAGCCGGCGGAGCTGGCCGCGGGGCTACCGGCGGGCGGCCGCTGCGCGGGCGCGCCACGGCCCGCGGCGGCCTCGGCGCCGGAGCGGCGGGTGCCCAGGGCCCGGGCGGTGGTCGAGAGTTGCTAAAGTCGGGCCGGACGAAAGGGGGGGATTGGGAAAGGGGGGTCACGAAATTTGCTGCATGCAGCTGGTTTCGGCCCCACTGAGGGGCCCATTCCTCGATACATGGGCGCCTCCGGCGCCGGGGGGCGCCGGGAAAATCAGCTGCGTGAGCTGATTCTCAAACCCCCCCTTTGCTATCCCCCCCTTTCGCCCGACCCGATAAAGGTGTCCTCGGTCCAAGGTGTCCCTGTGGAGCCCTCGGAGGTTTTCGGGCGTTTTCGTCGGTCCTGAGCGGCTTTTCAGCCTCGGGATGCCTTCCAGCGGCCGCGCCTCGCCGAGAGCGTGCTGGGGGTGCGTAGATCGTCCGGAACGGCCGCCAGGCCGAGTTATGACCCGACGACCACCCCAGGGACGGGGGTTAGGCTCAGAGGGGGATGCGTCGACCCCAATCGCCCATGGATCGCTGATAGGTGTCAGATCGCCCCACCCCGCCCCGGAACGTGTTGATTCGCTATCGGGGGCTATCGCCGATCAATCGGCGATGTATCGCCGATTCCATGTCGATGTTTCCCCCTTATGCCAGTCCCCCCTATAGTTGCCCCTCAGGTGGAGGTGCGGCGCGAGGGGTCCGCGGAGGACGTCGGTTACACGTAAGATCGCAGGCCTATAGAGCTTGACACCAACACCAGTGTCGGCAGGTTTCAAATTTTCCTCCTTGGAGGGGAAGGTGATCCCGATCTCGGTGATGGGTGTTGTATCTGGTTTACCTTAATGGCCCAAGGATTACCGCAAACACAAAGCTAGGATCATTTTCCCCCGTGGAAGCGCCCCCTCGTGTTGGTGTTGGTGCCTATTTCCAGGCCCCCACAACAAGAGTGACCTTTTACCAGAGTGAACTTTGGTGCGCGCACACTCGGGCACCCAGATGGCTGAACGCGATGCGATAGCAGCGGCTTGTGCGCTCGGGTTCGGCCTCCCCGCGGCCCCCGAAAGTGGCGCACCAAAGGTCTCCCTTACCCAGGGTCGCTCTTGCGCGTAGCCGAAGGACGAGCCCTGGGAGATGTTCTCCAGCATGCAGCGCGCCGCGCTGGCGACGGGGGCGCCGCAGTCCCGGGTGGTCGGGCGGCGAGATCTGGGCGTGTCCACCGCCCCTCGGCCAGGGCCCATCCTGGGCCAACCCAGGAGGGCGTGTAGCCCCAGACCCCCGACTTCATGATCCTGTTCACAACGTCGACCCCCAGAGTCAGGAGAGGAAGAAACACAGACACAATGAATCGTCGATTCCCAGGAAAATATTGGAAACTATGGAAAGTGGGGGGGGAAGACGAAAACCCCCAAAATAAAGGAAAAATATGGGGAATCCTGTTATTTGTGTGTATTCATTTGTGTGTCCCAGGGCCCCTTCAGTGCAGCCCCAGACCCGCGACTTCATGATCTTGTTCGCTTCGCCGACCCCCAGAGGTTTGGACCCCTGCCTCGGAACCGGTCTTTCGTCCCAGTGTTTGACCGCCCCGAGGCCCAGCGAGGGGCTCCAGAGGCCGCCGAAAACAGAGAAAGACCTTCAGTTAAGTCGGGCCTGCCCCTTATAGGGGGATTTTGGGCGAAAAATAGAAAGTATTTAAACAACAGTCAAAAGATGCCCAAAAATCTTCAAAAAATAGTCCCCATATTATTTTTTTGACTATTTTTGAATATTCCCCCTGTAGAGGGACAGGCCCGACTTCAACCTTCAGTCGCGATTTTGTCTCATGACTCGAGGGGGCCTGGGGTCCAGAACGGGCCCGGCTGTGGGCGGTGGACATGTATCAGGAGGGGAACACACACAGACGCAGACACAGACACAGACACAGGCACAGTCGCAGTCGCAGTCACAGTCACAGTCACGGTCACCAACATAACACAAGACAACACAACACAGTACAACACAGCACAGAACAGCACAGCACAGCACAGCGCAGCACAATCCAATCCAATCCAATCCATTCCAATTCATCTGGCAATACCATACAGTACATACCAAAACAATGCAACACAAGATAACACAACACAACACAACATTACACAAGACAACACACAACGCACACACATACATACACACAGTCACACACTACGCACAAGACACACAACGCGCAACACACAGCATACACAGCACACAACGCTACACACAACAAGCAACACACACAGCACACACAATACACAACCAATGCTGCACCTAAGCGATGTGATGCTCTTAATTTTAAGTGTTTGTTGTTGTTTTATTTTTCGTTCTAAACGAGTGGTGTTCTCGTTGTCAGCAAATTCCCCAAACGATGATGACCGCATCTCTGGGCAACGTGTCCTGTTGTATGTTTTGTTCGGTTGCGTGCGACGTGCCGTGTTTCATTTTTTTGTTTTTCTTTGTTTGTTTTGTTTGAGTATGTCGCGTCGCTTCGGCATGTGTTGTGTTTTTGGTTTTGTTTCACTACCAGGCAGTTCTAGCCGCATATGGGTGCTGCCAATGCATTCGCCGCGCGCTTGTTTTGTTGTTTGGCCTGTTCTGTTACGTATCCGTTTTTTTGCTTCGGCGCCCCCTTTGGTGTTTTGGCTCTCCGCCTGGTTGTTCGGCGACCATCGGATCATCGCGGCGCGCATTATTTTTCTGCTCCTATTGTTTTTGTCGGCGCCCATTGCTTGTTGTTCAGCACCTTTTGGTTTCTCGCGGCGCGCATTGTTTTTGTTGGCGCCATTGTTTTTTTTTTGTTCGGCGCCCTGGGTTTCTTCGGCGCCCTTCGGCCACTCACGGCGCGCATTGTTTTCTCGGCGTCATTTTTTTGCTCGGCGACCTTGGCTTTTTCCAGCGCTTTTCGGTCACTCGCGGCGCGCATGATTTTTTTTTGGTTCAGCGCCCTTGACTTCTTTTACAGCGGGTTTCGCATTTCTTCAGCGGCCTTGCCTTTTTTTCTGCGACCTTGCCTTTTTTTCAGCGGCCTTGACTGTGTTTGGCTGCCTTGCCTTCGTTCATCGGGTTTCGCTCTTTTTTGTTTGTTTGCGGGTTTCGCATTTTTTCGGCGACCTTGGGTTTTTTCGGCGGCCTAGTTTTTGTTCGGCGGGTTTCGTATTTATTCGGCTGGTTTCGTATTTTTTCGGCGGCCTTGCTTTTTGTCGGCGGGTTTCGTATTCCTTCGGCGGGTTTCGCATATTTTCGGCGTCCTTGGTTTGGTTTGGCCGCCTTGTTTGTTTTGTGCGGGTTTCGCATTTTCTCGACTGTTTCAGCGCTCTTTTCTTTTTTTCTGCGGCCTTCGCTTTTCTCGGCGGCCTTCGTTATTAGTTCGGCGCCCTTCGTTTTTTTCGTCGCCGTTCGCTTCTTTCGGCGGCCTTTGCTTTTTTCGGCGGCCTTCTTTTTTCCAGTGGCTTCCTTTTTTTCTCGGTGGCCTTCGTTTTTTTCTGCGGCTTTCGCTTTTTGTCGGCGTCCTTCATTTATTTTCGGTGGGCTTCGCTTTTTTCGGCGGCCGTGTTTTTTTCGGCGGCCTTCGCTTTTTTTCGGCGGCCGTCGCTTTTCTCGGCAGCCTTCGCTTTTCTCGACGGCCTTCGCTTTTCTCGGCGGCCTTCGCCTTTCTCGGCGCCCGTCGCTTTTTTTCGGTGGCCGTCGCTTTGTTCGGCGGGTTTTGCTTTTGTTCGGCGGCATTCGTTTTTTCGGTGGTCTTTGTTTTTTTCTGTTCGGCGGCCTTCGCATCGTCCTTGGTTTTTTTGTGTTGTTTTGTTTTGTTTCCGAGCCTTACGTGTTTTTTCATAGTCGTTCGTTTTTTTGTTCGTTTTTGTTCGGCGCCTTCGCTTGGTTTAGGCGGCCTTCGCTTTTTTGCTGCGATTTTAGTGTTTTGATCCAGCGTCCTTCGCCTTTTTCGGCGGCCTTCGCTGTCTGCGGCGCCCTTTGTTTTTTGCCTGGTGCGAGTTTGTTTCTTGCGTCATTCGCTTTTTTGATGCGTGCTTTCTTTGTAGTTGTTCCATGTTCGCTATATCACCCCGCCCCTCTTTTTGCCTTTACCCTTCCTTTCCCTGTCCGTCTTCGCTCTCCCCCGCCCTCCCTTCCGTTCTCCCCCTGCTTTATTGGACAGGCCTGACGGCCCGTGCCGCCGACCCTGATCGAAGGGGCTAGGAGGGGGAGGAGGAAGCGAAGGAGGAGGAGGAGAAGGAGGAAGAGGTGGAGGACGAGGAGGAGGAGGACAGGGACGAGCACGAGGACGAGGAGGAGGAGGAGGTTTCGTTTATCCCCTGCTCTGCCGCTTCTGCGTTCTTTTGTTTCGTTTTGTTTCGGCAGCTTTTTGATTTGGCGCCTTCGTGTTTTCCCCCCTTCGCTTCGGCGCCCTCGTGTTTTGTTGCGCGTTTTGTTGACGCCAGGCTGGCGGTTGCGTCTTGTTGCGTTTTTTGTTTTTTTGTTCTCACTCGCGATGGTTAGTTGTCTTGTTTTTGTTGTCTTGTTCGAGCGCTCTTGGCGCATTCTGTTCCGGCTTAAACGTTGTTCCGACATGTTCAAAACACCAGAATTAAAGAAAAGACGACCCAAGCAAAGCTAAACATGTTCAGCAGCAGAACATAACAGAACAGTAGAACAGCGTTCCAGTGCAGCCTTGCACACAACACACGCACACAAGACACACAAAACACATAGCACACAACACACACACACACAACACACACAACACACGCACACACAAAACTCACAACACAAGACACAACACCCAACACACAGCACACAACACACAACACACACGCATACACACACCACACAGACACACATGATCGTCGACTCCCAGGTGAAAATGGAGCATACGGAGAGTGTAGGGGAAGACTGACAACTAGAAAATATAGAAAAGTATTGGGAATCCTGGGAATTGTGTCTATTGATTTGTGTGTCCCTGCGCCCCTTCAGATGGGCCCGGCCAGCGCGGTGTGCATGTGTAGATCTCGCCGCCCCAGGTGGCGGCCTTGTGCGACAGTCGAGGCGCCTACGCGGGGTGGCAGTTCCGCTGGCCAGCGTACCTGCCAGCCCGAGACGTCGGGCAGCCCTCGCCGTCCCCGCCAGGGCGGCCGGCACAGGTCGGACGGGGCTAGGACGAGTTAAATCCGTTCCAAAGCGTTCCGGAACGCTCTCAGAGCGTTCCAGAACGCTCTGATAAGACCGCGGAGCCCGAGGCATCCTCCAAACCCGCCGACTCAGAGATTCTGGATACATCCTCGCCCGACTTTGTCCTCGTCCTGGCTTCGTCCTCGCAGGCGCCGATCCCCGCCATGGCGCCACTGGCGCTGCCCGACGCGGCCGAAGAGCCGACGCTGGGGCGCCGCCGTCCCGCCCGTGCCGCGAGCTGCCGCTGTGCCGCGGCAGCAGAAGCATACGCTTGAGCATGATGTGGGGGCGCTGGGGGATCGCTCCTCCTCCTCTGGTTCCTCCTCCATGCTGCTGCTATCACTGCCTGGAACCCCCATCCCCCAGCCATATTTCCCCAAACAGCTTGCTGAACGGGGTGCTGTTGTGATAGAAGCTAACTCCGGCCGAGGGATGTCCGAGCAGAGACATCTTCACAAAAATTTGATGGTCCGGGCCGTTTCGCTTGAGACATCCTCACAACTCTCGTTTCTGAGTTGGCCGGGATTGGCCGTTTCGCCTGAGACATCGTCGAAAAGTTGCGCTCCCAGACGCCGCGCGAGGGGTGGTCCGGGCCGTTTCGCTTGAGACATCCTCGAAACTCTGAGCTCCGAGGTGCCGTGCGAGAGGTGGTCCGGGCCGTTTCGCCTGAGACATCCTCGAAACTCTGAGCTCTGAGATGCCCTGCGCGAGGTGGTCCGGCCCGTTTCGCTTGAGACATCCTCGAAACTCTGACCTCGGAGATGCCGCGCGAGAGGTGGTCCGGCCCGTTTCGCTTGAGACATCCTCGAACTTCTGAGCTCTGAGGTGCACTGCGCGAGGTGGTCCGGCCGTCTCGCCTGAGACATCCTCGCAATTCTGAGCTCTGAGATGCCGTGCGCAAGGTGGTCCGGCCTGTTTCGCACAAGACATTCTCGCAACTCTGAGCTCCCAGATGCCGCGCAAGAGGTGGTCCAGCCTGGGGGGCCAGAAGACCACATGTTACATATCCTCCCTGGGACCCTGGGAGCCCGTCTGAGACGTCCTCGAACTTCTGAGCTCTGAGATGCCCTGCGCGAGGTGGTCCGGCCCGTCTCGCCTGAGACATCCTTACAACTCTGAGCTCTGAGCTCTGAGATGCCGTGCGCAAGGTGGTCCGGGCTGTTTCGCACAAGACATTCTCGCAACTCTGAGCTCCCAGATGCCGCGCAAGAGGTGGTCCAGCCTGGGGGCCCAGAAGACCACATGTTACATATCCCCCCTGGGACCCTGGGAGCCCCAGGAGGCCCCAGAGAGCTCCAGGAGGCCGCAGGACGCCCAGGACAGGCCCCAGGGGTCCCCAGGAGATTCCCAGGAGGCTCTCAGGAGGCCCCAGGAGGCTCCCTATCAGAACGTGTCAAGTTAATATACATCCGGTGTCGATTCGTTGAGTTTTCCTGCTCTTGTGCCCCCCCCTGCATTTTGAGAGGCCCAAGCGGCCACAGGTTAGATATCCCTCCTGGGAGCCCCAAGAGGCTTCAGGAAACCCCAGGTGGAGTTCAGGAGGCCACAGGAGGCCCAGGAGGAAGCCACAGGACGCCCCAGGAGGCCCCAGGAGGCACCAGGAGGCCCCCGCAACTTGGAGCTCTGAGACGCCGCGCTCGAGGTAGTCCGGCCCGTTTCGCCTGAGACTTCCTCGCAGCACGTTTCGCCCGAGACACCGGCCCGTCTCGCCTGAGACATCCTTGCAACTCTGAGCTCTGAGATGCTGTGCGCAAGGTGGTCCGGGCTGTTTCGCACAAGACATTCTCGCAACTCTGAGCTCCCAGATGCCGCGCAAGAGGTGGTCCAGCCTGGGGGCCCAGAAGACCACATGTTACATACCCCCCTGGGACCCTGGGATCCCCAGGAGGCCCCAGAGAGCTTCAGGAGGTCGCAGGACGCCCAGGGCAGGCCCCAGGGGTCAGCAGGAGATTCCCAGGAGGCTCCCAGGAGGCCCCAGGAGGCCCCCTATCAGAACGTGTCCAGTTAATACAAATCCGGTGTCGATTCGTTGATTTTCCCTGCTCTTGTGGCCCCCTCCTCCCCCGTTTTGGGGGGCCCCGACGGCCACATGTTAGATATCCCCCCCTGGGAGCCCCAAGAGGCTTCAGGAAGCCCCAGGTGGGGTCCAGGAGGCCACAGGAGGCCCAGGAGGAAGCCCCAGGAGGTCCCCAGGAGGCCCCAGGAGGCCCCACTCTGGGGTCCGAGATGCCGCGCGCGAGGTGGTCCAGCCCGTTTCGCTTGAGACATCCTCGCAACGCTGGGCTCCGAGATGCCCTGCGCGAGGTGGTCCGGCCCATCTCGCCTGAGACATCCTCGCAACTCTGAGCTCTGAGATGCCGTGCGCAAGGTGGTCCAGCCCGTTTCGCACAAGACATTCTCATAACTCTGAGCTCTCAGATGCTGCGCAAGAGGTGGTCCAGCCTGGGGGCCCAGAAGACCACGTGTTACATATCCCCCTTGGGACCCTGGGAGCCCCGGGAGGCCCCAGAGAGCTCCAGGAGGTCGCAGAACGCCCAGGACAGGCCCCAGGGGTCCGCAGGAGATTCCCAGGAGGCTCCCAGGAGGCTCCCAGGAGGCCCCAGGAGGCCCCCTATCAGAACGTGCCCAGTTAATACACATCCGGTGTCGATTCGTTGATTTTTCCTGCTCTTGTGGCCCCCTCCATTTTGGGTGGCCCCGACGGCCACATGTTAGATATCCCCCCCTGGGAGCCCCAAGAGGCTTCAGGAAGCCCCAGGTGGGGTCCAGGAGGCCACAGGAGGCCCAGGAGGAAGCCCCAGGAGGTCCCCAGGAGGCCCCAGGAGGCCCCACTCTGGGGTCCGAGATGCCGCGCGCGAGGTGGTCCAGCCCGTTTCGCTTGAGACATACTCGCAACTCTGGGCTCCGAGATGCCCTGCGCGAGGTGGTCCGGCCCATCTCGCCTGAGACATCCTCGCAACTCTGAGCTCTGAGATGCCGTGCGCAAGGTGGTCCAGCCCGTTTCGCACAAGACATTCTCATAACTCTGAGCTCTCAGATGCTGCGCAAGAGGTGGTCCAGCCTGGGGGCCCAGAAGACCACATGTTACATATCCCCCCTGGGACCCTGGGAGCCCCGGGAGGCCCCAGAGAGCTCCAGGAGGTCGCAGAACGCCCAGGACAGGCCCCAGGGGTCCGCAGGAGATTCCCAGGAGGCTCCCAGGAGGCCCCAGGAGGCCACCTATCAGAACGTGCCCAGTTAATACACATCCGGTGTCGATTCGTTGATTTTTCCTGCTCTTGTGGCCCCCTCCATTTTGGGTGGCCCCGACGGCCACATGTTAGATATCCCCCCCTGGGAGCCCCAAGAGGCTTCAGGAAGCCCCAGGTGGGGTCCAGGAGGCCACAGGAGGCCCAGGAGGAAGCCCCAGGAGGTCACCAGGACTCCCCAGGACTCCCCAGGAGGCCCCAGGAGGCCCCCGCAACTCGGAGCTCTGAGACGCCGCGCTCGAGGTGGTCCGGCCCGTTTCGCCTGAGACTTCCTCGCAGCACGTTTCGCCCGAGACATCGTCGCAACTCTGGGGTCCGAAATGCCGCGCGCGAGGTGGTCCAGCCCGTCACGCTGGAGACATCCTCACAACTCTGGGCTCCGAGATGCCCTGCGCCAGGTGGTCCGGCCCGTTTCGCACAAGACATTGTCACATTTCTGAGCTCTCAGATGCTGCGCAAGAGGTGGTCCAGCCTGGGGGCCCAGAAGACCACGTGTGGCTCCCAGGAGGCCCCAGAGAGCTTCAGGAGGCCGCAGGACGCCCAGGACAGGCCCCAGGGGTCTCCAGGAGATTCCCAGGAGGCTCCCAGGAGGCCCCAGGAGGCCACCTATCAGAACGTGTCCAGTTAATACACATCCGGTGTCAATTCGTTGATTTCTCTTGCTCTTGTGCCCCCCCTCCATTTTGGGGGGCCCGACGGCCACATGTTAGATATCCCCCCCTGGGAGCCCCAAGAGGCTTCAGGAAGCCCCAGGTGGGGTCCAGGAGGCCACAGGAGGCCCAGGAGGAAGCCCCAGGAGGTCACCAGGAGGTCCCAGGAGGCCCCAGGAGGCCCCCGCAACTCGGAGCTCTGAGACGCCGCGCTCGAGGTGGTCCGGCCCGTTTCGCCTGAGACTTCCTCGCAGCACGTTTCGCCCGAGACATCGTCGCAACTCTGGGGTCCGAAATGCCGCGCGCGAGGTGGTCCAGCCCGTCACGCTGGAGACATCCTCACAACTCTGGGCTCCGAGATGCCGTTCGGGATGAAGAGGAGGTGGAGGAGGAGGAGGAGGAGGAGGAGGAGGAGGAGGAGGAGGAGGAGGAGGAGGAGGAGGAGGAGGAGGCATGTTTTAACATGCCATGCCAGCCCGCACTGGACGGGCATGCAATCGACCTTGGAAACCGCAGTGGGTCTAAAAACCCTGTTTGGGGATACTGCACTCAGGCTATAATTTTGTTTGTTCCTTTCGCGGGTGTTCCCCCATCCTGAAGTACAAGAAGAAGGGGGGTAGTCAGCTGCAAGTGTGTAATCAAGCCGCGCCACAGATCAACAGTTTATTTCCGTGCAAATATTGTCGCTATTGTAGTACACCTACTTATAGACTGTTGCTGCATTGTATTTGCAATCTGGGTTCTCGCGTTTCTCCTCTGGTTGCGCCGAGGGGGGCGGAACCCCACGCTCGAGCACCCCAGCGGGTGAGAATTCATTCTTCTTCCGAACCTTGAGACGGGAGGAACCCGCGTGCTCGAGCCCCTCGCCTGGGATTTTCTCTTCCGCGGTTTCGGTGCGCCCCAAAAGTTGTTTTTTTCGGTTTGGCCCCCATGGGCCCTACGTTTGAGTCGGCCGGGTGATCTGCTTCTGCTCCTCTTCTTCCTCCTCCTCCTGCTCTAGCCGTGCTGAGCCCTCAAGAGATTCAGTGAGTTGCGACCGCGTAGTTCTGCGCCGCTTCGCGTTCGCGAGTCAATGCGACCAGTTGTGAACTCCTGGAGGAACATTCAATGGCAAGCGAGGATGACGTGTTGGCTGGCCTTCGTCGCCCTGAGTGAACTTTTGGGCGCTGCGGTGCGGCCCGCAACTGGGCCAGCAGGATCAGGTGTCGGCGCGGGAATGCAGCTCCGGCAGACATCAAGCATCGCGCCCTGGAAGCGCAGAAAAAATCCCTGTCGAATTGTGTGCAGCAGTGTTGGGCAGGTAGTCAGCGGGA